GTTTGGAGATAAATTTTTCGGAGAAAAAGGGGCCGCAAGACTCTCGGCACAGACGTCTAAGATGGGTAAAGAAGCTCTTGAATTGGAAGGGTGGGAAGTTACAGGTTGGACAGATGTATCCCCAGACCCAATGTTTGACTGGTACCCTGTTGGGAAATTTTGTGGACAAAACTACTCCAAGGGGCCTGCTAGGTGGATCGAAGAAGATGACGTGTATGAAGGGGGAGGGGAATCATTAGGAGCTTATGGAGGAGATGTACAGGCAGAATCGGCTGATGGTGCATCTTTTCTATGGAACAATGACACCGCCAAAGCCTTACCAGACGGAGTATTTCTGATTTGTGGAGATAGAGCATGGCAGGGAATACCTAAGAATGCCTATGGGGGACCGTGTTATTTAGGGCAACTGGCAATGATAGCCCCGTCGTTAACTATGAAGCAGGAACAAAGAAGGCAAAAGCGTTCCCTTGGTTTAACACCGTAATGTAATGATAATGTACAATTAATATCTGTAACTGCGCGGGTCGCCTTAGCTATCTTTGTACCAGGAGCTGCAGCAGGAAATGCATTAAGAGAACTTTCGAAGTTAGCCTGTTGGAGTGAGAAGCAAGCAAATGTGACAACCGAGGTATTGGAACAACTCCTGCTCGATCAGAACAGCCTGCGACATGTAAACACTGACAATTTTTCTGATTTACAGCCACATTGAATCAATTCAGCCTGTAATATGGGATTGCCCTTTGACTTCCTATTGATGCTAAGTCTCATACAGTTGAAGAGCGACACTTTTTGCCAGCACTATTTTGTTGGAGAACTCTGCCTTCACAGAACACAGTGACCTCATCTCTCTCACTTGCACCTTTTTAAGGCACTGCTCTCTGCTGGGAAGACAGTGAATTACACTGGGCCACAATCATTTCAATGCTTGCAAATTCCTACCAGCGCTCAATACTACTGTGCATCTGCTCAGCAGTACAAATCACTCAAGCCTGTTTTTTGCTTCCATTTGCTTTGCGATTTAACAACATTAAATGCGTGTTTCCCAGGCTAGTTCCAGGCCACCTAGAAGATTATTTCAGCATGAAAACTATGGGCAAGAACTTCAGTGAGGCGACACTCCACAGAAGACATAGAGGGTATCTGTACTAAAGATGGAACTTCCTTAGATGGTATGAGGAAAGCACCGCACCAAAACATCCTTCACCCAGAAGGAATAATATACTCTCCCTAGGCTTAACTCTTCTAAACACACACAGGGTGTACTGGAAAAGAGCCTCTTCTCCTGAGGGGGATAACAACTCACCAATCTACCTGAATTCTTTGAAGGATGCACAATAGACAGAGACTTGTTAATGCTGCCTATCGGATTTCCAAAGACTTTTGACCAAAACCAAGCTGCTGCGAGACATTTATCTAGTAGATAAATGACTGAAATGTAGGAAAGCCATAGGGAGCCAGTTGTTAGTTTTTACCCAACAAGTAGGTGACTAGTGGAGCCCCACCAGGTTCCTTGCTAGGTTCTTTAGTCTTTAACATATTTATACTGCATCTAGAAAAAGGTAGGATGAATGAAGTGACAAAACCTACTGATGATAAATGCAGGGTACTCAAAGCAGCCACATAAAGTTGTGACAGGATCTCACAACACTGAGTAAACACTAAAATAATTAAAAATGAATTTCTATCTTAATAAATGTGAAGTAACATAATTGTGAAGTAACAATAATGAGCTCTGAATTACCCTAATGATTTGGAAAGAGATTCTGAAGTTAAAACAGTTCCATGAAATCATCAGGCAAAAGGCAGCTGAAAAGGGGCAAACAATAGGAGTGAGATGAGAAACAGAGAACAAAACAGAAATATTCATTATACCACTCCAAAATAAGTGAGGCATGCTCATACAGAGCATTTTGTGCAGTTCTACTCCTCCCAACATGTATGAACTCTCGTCTGCTCTTCTCCCACCTGCCCCAAAGCTTCTCCTCTTTTACAGAGTCACATACGTGTTGATAATGATCAGCTGAAGCACGGAATACATTACAGTCAGACAACATTTAGACCAGGATTCGTCATCATGGACAAAAACAAACAAAACAAGTATTTAAGAAATCTATATAATAACTAACATCCCAGAGAGGGTAGACCGGGATCATTTTTCCCTGTCTCTTCTAACATAAGACTCAAGAAGAGATCAAACACAATATTGGGCTGCAGGTTCAATATAGGTATTACTGGACAAATTGTAGGTAAAAAGTCTTTGACTTTGTTTTGAGAAGTCCCCAAGTCCTGGGGAACGTGACTATAAAAGTTCTCCCCTTGTCTCTTCATCTTCCACACCTCCCCCTGTTCCTTGCTGTTTTACTCCCCATTCAGAGAAAAGTTGAATAGCACTCAACTCAACTCAACTCAACTCAACTCAAAAGTTGAATAGCACAATAGTGCCTTTCTGATTATGAGAAAATTTATAGGTCTTGAATCTAAATTCTAATTTTCCAGAGTCCATATATATATATTTATCTCCTTCTCAAAAATTGATTTTGAAAGAAAGATTCCATAATTCTTGAATCCTAGAAAAATATTTTAGGACACTGAAATTGTTTCGGTGTCTACTTTTAGTCTGTTTCTTTTCCATTATTGAGAATATCCTTAAAAAATAAAGTCTATTATTATTAGACTGCTAATTTAATTAATATACATTTTAGCTTATTTTTTCCCCATGTAATTAATTGAAATACTTTTAAATCTTTGAATATTTTTGATTTATGTTTTATTTATGTTTTTAATGTTTTATGCAATGTAAGACAAGCTGCTTGAAATATGCTCAAAACTGTCATTTTTAAGTGACAGTTTGAAAACTGCCTCACTTTAAGATGCCACAGGGAGAAAGAGAATGTATCAGCATTTCCATGTTCACTTGGTTAACTCTGGCAAGTAACTAGGTCACTATCTGGCATTAGAAATAACCTTTGTTTTGTTTTTGTGTGTGTGTGTGTGGGGGGGGGCGTAACAATTATCTGGGCACACTCAAATGAAGACTGCCAAAAGAATTACAAATTAACAAACCACAGCAATCATTCCCAAACACACTCACAACAAAGAAGCAGTGAAAAACTAAAACCTGTACTTAATAAAAGCACTGAGAAACTGAAAGCTAGTGACTACATTTTCATGGTCTCTGCATCCTTCAGATGCTTGTTTCTCTTGGACCCTAGGACAGCCAATGAAGGAAACTCCCCACTTGCCACGTCCCTTGCTACAGGGGCCCATTTTCTCCCACACCGTGGCCTTGTGAGCCCACTCACAGCCAACACCTGTGATGGAGAGAACCACCCAGCTCTTCACATTGCCTCGCAGGCCCTTTCACAGCCAGCACCTGTGATAAGGAGAACCACCCTGCTCTTTTCCTGGCAGCCCAGGAGGGGGCGTCGCGGCTGCCCGTGCTGCCACGCTCGGCCCGTCAGGCCGCAAGTCGAGCCCATCCCCGCGGAACTGCGCGGCGTCCACCTGCGAGCCGCGCACAGCGCTAGCATAGGGAGGACGGCAGAGTCGGGGCCACTGTTACCGCTGCCGCCCCCGC